AAATGACTCGATAGCTTTTAAATATTTTAAATAGTATTTTTTATCTTGTAGAGATCCCTCTTATGTATAATCGATCCTACTTGATCATGATTTAGGTACACCGCGGTTACTTCTTTTTTTTCCCGCGGGCGGGGCCAAATGGCTTCCCCAGGCAAAATCCATCCATGACTCCTCCCATCACAATATATTGTTATTCATCTATAAACGATTATTACACGTACCTCTTAGCAAATGAATATAGTTCAAACTAAGTAATTAAAAAACGGTTTTGAATTCAACCAATTTCATTCATGAGTCATGACGAAATCCAATTTCTGCACCTGATAAAATTAATATTTTTAACATATTTTAAGAGAAAAAAATCATTAATAAGACGAAAAAAATATAACATCAATATATATTTTGGGTTATTAGGAGTTCTATGATTAGTATTTCTTTTTCCTGATGAAGTAAATGGGTTTTGGATCAAAAATTCAATTTTAAATTAGGAACCTTAAAAGTACATATTTTAGTCATAGCTCTTTGACCACATAACTAAGGAACACTCATAACAAAGATTCGAATCTTTCAAAAAATGTCAAATTGACTCTTTGTCATTCCTTTACTAACTATACTGAATCTAAACTCCTCATCATTCGTCCACCCATAAAACTCATGAACACCTCTATAAATATAAACTAAAGTCAATAGCATTGCTAGCCTTTAAAGATCACCAGAAGGTGACCGACCATCATCATTTATGTTGATGATCTCTATTAAAAAGTAAACTCAATTGTAGAGGTGCCAACCTTTAAAAGAATAATTATAATATTACATCCTTTGAATCAGTACTCTTCCTAAAATGAAGTGTGTAAGGAGCGAGTTGGTCTCAATCTATAGAAAATTGTGAAATTATTTGTATGAGCCGGCGACAATATAGTAGGTTTAGATATCAATGTTGATTGCCAATAGGGATCACATTGAAAAAAAAAAAAAAAGTCGGCCCACCAACCTTGGAGACGGCCGGGTTCGTGGTTTTCGCTTTGCATCTTTCGATTATCTTCTATCTTTCCATCTTCCTCTTCCCCATCTTCGTTTGGCCACCGGATTCACCTCACCCGAAAACCCCTCTTTTTCCCCATCCAATACCCACGGTCAAACACCCCTTTGGATGCCGCCGGCCCAACCTCTAGCCTCCGGCCACCATCCACCACCTCAGCGCAATTGAAATCCTTCCTAATTTGGTTGGGTTAATTTAGGGATTAATTTGAATTTGAAATTATTCAAATTCAAATTTTAAATTTTTTCCTAATTTGGTTCATCTATTTTTGGAAAGTGCTTAATTGAAATCAATTGAAATTTAAATTCAAAATCTGATTTATTGCCTCACTTTCATAACTCCTAAATTCAAATCTTGAAGCCTTAAATTCTTTCATTAAATCCCTCCCATGCCCCTTAATGCCACGGCTCCCACCTGATTGTTTTTGGATTTATTTCCTAAAACCCACCCTATCTAATGGAAACAATTCCATATCTTAATTCACACCAAGGCTCAAGTTTTATTTCCTAATACTAGAGATGAGAATTAGGAATTAACAGCCCGTGGCTCCTTGCTGGAATTAATTTGTTCTAAAGCATTCACTCCATTCAATCCCGTGAGTTCCTCTCCCACCCGTCTCCCTCCTCTTTATTTCCTTGTTTTTTTTTTTCCCAATCAACTCCCCTATTTCAATTCCCGTAACAATTTGTTCCTCACGACCAAAGCCTCTAATTAATTTCCAAATCTCTGGAATTACATTAGGAAATCTTTCCTAACAGCCAAAGTAATTCTTTGGAAATATTTTCAAAAACTGAGAATTCAATGCCTGCTTTTCCCTCTCTACCACGTCAATCCTGGGTTTGACTCAAGGCTTGAATTCCTCTAAATTCCACTTGCCTCTCACCATAGAAACCTGAAGTTTCTCTCAGGTTTAGACTCCAGAATTTCTCCATTGAATTTTCTCATGTTTTTGGGAAATCAAAAGCAGAAATTGTTCTAAAAAATTCCGGAGCTCCTTTCTGTCCTACATCAGTAAGCTATAGGGTACAATCCTAGTTTGGGAAGAAATGGTTTCTCATATTGCACACATTCCTTGAATACTTGTTTATCTAGGCTTGAATATTTCTAAGATGATCATTGTGATTATAGCACAAAAGCTATTATATTAAAGTAAATAAATCATTATTTTGCTAATTAGTTAATTGCTCTAGTGTTATCTTACAATCACAATTATAGTACTGATATTTGCATAAAAATTGATGTTTAATTAGATTAATCTTAAAACTTGTGAATTGAAATCAAAGTAAATCGTTGTGATTAAAACTCAATCACTCACATTAGCTTGATCATTTATTCACCACCATCACATTACTTGTGAGTTATCAGTTATTCAATTATTGGTATAAAACCACTTAATTGAAATTATTACTGAAGTTGAGTTTAACATTAATATTGTGCTTACCTAAATTTCACTCACTCAGCTGATTTAATTATTAACCTAAATCATAGTTATCGTGTGTGGTGCAACTTGAGGATTACATAAAACTACAACTGTATTTGCTAATATAACTGATTGCAATCTTTTAGATTGTAGATAATCACACTTAGACACCCATTTGTATTAGTCATTTGCATATCTTAATTCCTACACTTGCATATTAAGATAAGTTTAGTTTAGTTCTCATATTCTTGATTTCCAGTCTTTTGATTCTTATATTATTTACTTCATTCCAAGTACTTAGTAATACAACTTTTGCACTGAATTAGATTGAGGGCTATGTTGCACCGATACACCTATTTATGAAGGCGTGCTGTATCCGATACACCGATACACGGATACGCCTCCGATAGTCCACCGATACATGTCATATACGCCAAAGACGTATCCAATTAAAATACTATTTAATTTCAAAAGGACACGCGTATCCAATACACGTGTCTGTTGAAAAACAAAAAGAAATCTGAAAAAAGAAGATGCGTCATATTTACTTCCGCGGCTGCGAGCAAAATTCTCTCATTTCTGAGATGGATTTGAGTCTCTTGATGATATGAGAATATTAAAAATTACTAATCTTTCACTTGATGAGCCTGAATTAAAAGCTATGATATTTATTGAAAATGATATAGAAGTTCAAAGACAAACCACTGAAGAAGCTAATCATATCATTCCTTCTATTGAATAGTTGAAACTTTATGTGCTACACAATTTATGTTTATGCTTTTGTTGTACTAGACATTTAATGCTTACTTATATTTTGATATTATAAGTTACAATGCTACAAATGATGTAGCTACAAGACCAAAAATGATGTGTTGTCATTTTTTTTTTGTAATTTACAAATATTATGTTTTGATTGCTTTCTTAATTTTTATATATGAATTTATAAATTATGATGTCGTGTCCGCTCGTACCCGTATCCTTGTATTTTAAGAATTGACGTTGTCCCGTAATCCGTATCGTGTCGTTATCCGTGTCGCCGTATCCGTATCGGTGCAACATAGATTGAAAGTATTGGGTTGGGAAGTATTTTGAAAGAAATTTTGAAGTGGCTGTTGCACATCCAATTCAACCCAAACCCAAAGCTAAGAATGACAAATCAGATTTAGACCTGTCAATTCCGGGTCACGGGTCGGTTGGGTTCGAACCCGAAACTGACCCGACACTATTCGGGTTCGGGTTAACCCGACCCGTTTTTTTAAAACGGGTCGATTTTCTGGACCACTTCGGTTCGGGTCAACCCCGACCGACCCGCGAATACAATAACGCCTGCAGCGGCTGGCGGCAGCGGAAAGCCGGCGAAAGGATCCGGTGACGCCCGACGCCGGCGAAAGCAGCCGTGACGCCCGACGCCCAACGAAAGCAGCTCGAGGCGCTCGGACGGCTCAGTGACGCGTGCGGGACGTGAGCTCGGACGCGTGCCGGCTGTAGGATGTGAGCTCGGGAGTCGGATGAGTGCGGCGAAGGCGCGAAGCTGTCTTCCGCAGTGTCGCCACCTCGGGACGCTACGCGCTAACGCGGCCCGGGGCAGCCAAGGTGGGGCAGACTGGGCAGCCGGGGCAAGTGGGTCAGCCGGGGAAGCGGGTCAGGCGGGCAGAGCTTTATTTCGGGTCATTTGGGGTTATTTCCAGGCTCCCGGGTCAACCCGAACCCGACCCCCATTTTTTAAACGGGTCGGTTTTCCGGATCCGAACCCGACCCGGTTCGAGTTCGGGTCAACCCAAACCCGAAATTTTCGGGTCGGGTTTGGGTCGGGTCCAATATTGACAGGTCTAGTCAGATTCTGCCAGATGATCAAAAGGATCATATTGGTTAGTAGCACCACAACTACTCGTCTTTGAAATGCATTCAGTGAAATAGAAGCAACCAAGTTGGCACACTATATCTTAAAAGAAGGTTCTAAATCTTTTTATCAATTATGAAAAGGCAAGAACTCAAGACGCACAAATTTGATTTATACACCATAACTGTATGCCGAGATTATTTAGAAAATTTTACCAATAAATATCCATATTAGAAGTTCAATCGCACAATTAAACTGCAATTTAAAATCATAAAATTAGATGTTCTTCAATGCTTCAAATCAAATCAGCCATGATGCAGATCAAAGATCACAAATCATGCTCAGGAAAGTATGCTGCAACACTGGTTGGATGTTTGTCTCAAAGTATTACAAGTAAGAGTTCGAGCAGGTGTACAAAACTTTGTTCAATAGGGCTGAATTACGCAGTAGTCCTAAAAATGACATCAAGATTCCAAGTTGGGCTCTCTTGACTCGGTAATAACAGCAAAGCTATTAGAGAGCCGAGTTTCTAATTATTGTTCAATAAAGAAAAAAGTAAGGAAAATAAAAGATGGGAAAAAATCAACAAAACCTAGAATTATTGTTCCACATATAATAAAACAAAAAAAAAAAGAATATGAAGCAAACAAGGAAATAAAACCTAGATTAAAAGAGTGGCAGCAAAGGGACTCCTAAGTCAAAGTGAAAACTGAGCATGGATATTAGTTCATCAGAAGAATCTCACCTGTGTTGATTAATTATAAGACGTTGGTAGTCTCGAAGTAATGCACCTAGCTCACGCAGTTGTATTGAATTTGGATCACATGTCTTCCAGTGTTCGCGTAGAGCCTGGAGATTCACAAGATAAAAATATTCATACCCATTAAAAGCAAAATAAATGATAAATAACATCATATGGTAGCAAAAGAAACCTGTATGGACACAGCTTGATCACTGGTAGGAAGTACTTCTCCAACAAATTTGGTAGATAACTCCAAAAGTTCTTTATCATTCACTTCAGCAATAACATTTACCTGAGCATCGGAAGAGGAAATTGATATTCCTAATTTTTTTTGCAACTCTAAAACTGCTGATTGGTCTTGTAGGTTTTCCTGCACAAGAGGAAGTGGTACTTCAATTTACCGCACCATGCTTAGAAGCGCCTCTTATCACTCTCAAGGGAATATTCATAAAAGGAAAAAGAGAAAAATCCAAACAATTAAGGCAATTCATGTACAAGAAATGTTAGCTTTACCTGTGGTGCAGATTGTGCTGCTGATTGGTCTTGTGCTGACTGATTCGAAATATCTGGAGGATTTAGAAGAGGCCGTCTGGCAATAGGGTCATCTAGATGAATAAATAAAAATAAGGATTAGCCTCTATTTTTTATGTTTAATCACTTATTTCAATCGGCTAGTAGTAAAATCATAATGAAGTAGATTGCATTCACAACTACACTGGCTCGAGACATTAGCAAAAAAGCTGAAGATTCTGGGCGGGATTTTGAAGAAGAGGAGACCACCCCAAAGTGTACGTGAAGTACAAAAAACTACTCAAAAGTGGTTATACTTCCTAAAAAGCATCGCTATATTTAGTACACCATTTGTAAACAATGATAGCATTAGCATAAAATAGTTTGGAAAGTAGGTTATATTAGGATCTACCAAATATGAAAGGTAAATCAGGTCATGAAGTAGTTTTTATTTTTTTCCCTCAAGAAGTGCTTAGGATGTTCTATGGCCAATAGAAGATCTGAGAGGTTCTTTTCATATAAATAACTTCAATTAACAGAATGAGAAAACTGTGCAAAAAACACTGAATAAAAATGATCATTTCTTCACACTCAAAAAACAAAGCTAAATACCTTCTGGAACCAACCACCATATATCACCAAATGTAGTTTTCCCATCAAAGCCACCAAATAAAATATAGCGTGCACCAATGCATGTCATGGAATGATAGGCTCTTGGAGGAGGAGGTTCGTTGTTAGTAGACAGGCGCTTCCACTGAACAGAGACTGAAATCACCAAGTCAATTATCAATGCATGAATTTTTTATTTTTTTTTATCAATGCATGAATTTGATTCCGCTGAACATGGACTAAAATCACCAAGTCAAACTGCCCGTGTAGAAAGTCAACAAGTAACATTTTCATTAATAAATTACGGAGAAATTTTCTTTCTTGCCTCATCCTCCAACAACTAGACCCAAGTTTTCACCTTTGACCACAACTCTCAAATTGCATATTAAGCCTCTCCCTCTCGATTTTCCTCCGAGAGGCATTCTTCCTCCCCCCTACTTAGCGAGGGCAGCAAGTTTGCCCTCTAAAAACACAATTGTCATTTTGTCTTCTTACGACCGTTGAAAGCAACAACCACAAGTTTGAGATCAGCATCATTAATTATAGATGGGCTTGTGTCAATCTCGTCAACATTTTTTCCTCTTGATTTTGACACAAATTTAAATTTTAATCATGAATTCAATCGACTTTATTATTTCATTCAGCCTCATTGCATCTTTTAGGTTGATTGTTTTGCTGCTTGAAATTAGTTGTGCCATCACTATTGAGATATTCATCTTCTTAAAACTTCACTGGGTAAAATAACTGCTTTATTTAGTTTGATCTAATTAAAACTCTCTTTTTTATATAGATCTAATTAAATCTCTCATGTGTTTATCAATAACTGATTAGGTTAGTTTGGAAGTAGATCATCTGTTAGGTTATGATTTTAATTTCAGATTTACATTACAAATATAACATGAATAAAATTTTCATTTGATATTATTTCTTTAGAACTTGTGTAGAGTGCTGAATTTGATTATATACCTTCAAGCAGGAAGCCTTTATGAACTAGAGGATAAGAAGTTGTACTGCATTGAGCTCTAAGACGTCTTTAATGACTTGTCAAAAAATAGTATTCAAACCTTTAAAGATTTGTCAAAGCATACTATTCAAACCTTTAAAGATTTGTTTAAAGCTTATATTCAAACCATTAAAGATTTGTGAAAAGCTATGATGCACCGACACTCCGTTTTAAGAGGCAGTGCAGTGTCGGACACGTGTCGGACACGGACACGTGCCCGACACGGCGGGGACACGTGTCCGACACGTTTTGACCGTGTCCAGAACTGTTTTGAAAAAAATTAAGCCGGACACGCGTGTCCGACACGCGTGTCCGGCGTAAGTTTTTTTTTTTTAAAATGGACACACTCAAAACGTGTCGGACACGTGTCCCCGCCGTGTCGGGCGCGTGTCCGTGTCCGACACGTGTCCGACACTGCACTGCCTCTTAAAACGGAGTGTCGGTGCATCATAGG